GCGCCAGACGTTACTGAAGTAACGTCTTCTGCATAGCTACGGGAATAATCTCCCTCTTCAATAATCACGATGTAGTCGTTTCGTTCGTCTTGGTCTCTTGTCCCGTTTCTAATGTCGATTCACCAACCTACTTGTTCCCGTTGTCAGTCTCTTAAAATACTGGTGTGGCCAACACATCTTTATTTTGCGTGATGATAAAATAGAATGATACCTTGCAATCTTCACCCATCCAACAGTCGACTGGTGACATGCTGAGTCCCTAAAATAATTTGGAAATTTCAGCTAGTCCAATGTAGGCCATTAGGCAGGCAGTATTCAATGGCCAGTATCAGATAGCTTATATCCAGAAACTCACGCTACGCTGGCTACAATCATGTTATTCTGAGGATTCTGAGATGGCAGATTTATTATCACTTTTATCCATTTATTATTCATTTTTAGACAGTTGTCTAAAGTCCCTAGGCTGCTCCTGTCCTAGCAACAGTCGAGCACTCTCACCCCAAGCTGCTAACACAATGGACCAACCAACGAGAATGGATATAGACTACTCGCTTAAGAATATACCGATACCTACGGAGAAGGAGTACAAGAAGAGCCTCATCGTGCGGGTTGAGGAGGTGATTAAGAGAATGAGATGGAAGGCCTTTTTCTACCTGAAGGGTGACAACACCAAAGAGGAGACCAACGCCCGCTTCGGCCTCAAGACCAAAAACTGCCCCCCGAAGGTACCAGAGATGAAGGAATTTGAGGATGACGTCACGAAGATGATCGAGAACCTGAGATTCCGAAGAGTATCTGATGACTTCCAAGCCCAGCTGAAGACCGACATCCAGAAGATCAAGAAAACCGAGCACATCATCATGAAGGCTGATAAGACACGGAATCTTTATCAAGTCAGCAAGGACCAGTATCATAAGCTCCTACACGACTAGGGGTGAAACAATTATACCGAATACTCGAGTACTCGCTCGGTTTTTTCAAAAATAATCGTACTCGGAATAAATCAGAGTACTCGTTCATACATGGTACATGCATTTACCACAGAAATCTGCGGTTTCAGAGCAGCAGTCGGCAGATATTGATGTGCAGACGATGTGGTGAACATTTGTTCACGAGTAGAGAGAGCTCAAATGACCCACCAACCACTATACCCGAGAAAAATGACTGCCACTCGGTTCAATCAGGGTTGGATCATGTGATTTTAAGGCCCTTTGTGTGCAATTTTTAGGAGATGAAGAATACTCGAATACTCGAATATTCGATTGGAGAAAATCAGAGTACTCGAACTCGGGATCTCAGTTGCAACTTTCACCCCTATACACGACAATATCACAAGAACGTACAAGGCAGCCCCTGATGGCGTATATGATGATATTAACTGTGAGGCCAAGGAGATCGCAACAGCGTTGGGAACTGGGGAGCGCATGGAGATACTGCCCAAGGCAAACGCATTCGTTACACTGAAGGACCATAAGCCGCGCTTTGCCAATGATCTGCTGTGCAGGTTAATAAATCCTGCCAAGCCGGAGATGGGCATCATTAGCAAGCAAGTGCTCGAAAGAATGACGCAGAAAGTTCGCGAGTTGACATCCATTAGCCTGTGGAAGAATACGGCGTCTGTTCTCGACTGGTTTGTAAAGATCAAGGAAAAGGAACGGATGACATTTGTGTGCTTCGATATAGTGGAGTTTCACCCAACAGTCACTGAGGAGCTGTTGACCCGTGCCCTATCATTCGCGAAGCAGTACGCTAACATAGACCAGCGGGAGGAAGACGCTATCATGCACTCGAGAAGATCCCTGCTATTCAGCGGCGAGAGGCAGTGGATAAAGAAGAAGAACAGTGCGTTTGATGTGACTATGGGGTCTTTCGATGGCGCCGAGGTGTACGAGCTGGTCGGCGCCTTTTTCCTCTCTGAGCTGAGCCAGCACATAGACCAGAGCTCAGTTGGCTTTTATCGCGATGATGGATTGGCTGTCGTACGCGATATGTCACGCAGTGCTGCTGATCGTCTCAGAAAGACCATAGCTACTGTATTCCAACAACATGGCTTGAAAATAACGATCGACGTGAACATGAGAGAGGTGGACTTCCTAGATGTCACACTGAATCTTGACACTGGAAAGTACAAGCCGTTTCGAAAGCCGAACAACACACCACTGTATAAGCACGAGGTCGAACCATCTCCCAATGGTACTGAGAAACCTCCCTAAGGCGATTGAGCGGAGAGTGTCAGATATATCGGCCGATCAGCAGACGTTCGACGAGGCGGCGCCGTTATACCAGAACGCACTGAAATCTAGTGGATTCGCTTCAACGATTGAATACCAGGAGAAGGCGACACATGCTACAGGAAGGAACAGAAAGAACCGTCTGAGGAAAGTGATATGGTTCAACCCGTCTTTCAGCAAGAATGTGAGCACGAATGTGGCGGCCACGTTCTTGCGATTGGTGCAGAAGCACTTCCCTGCGAATTCAAAGCTGCAAAAAATATTCAACAAAATAACGTCAAGGTTAGCTACAGTTGGATGCCCAACGTAGCCGCAGTGATAAACGGGCACAACAAGATGCTTCTTGAGCCGAAACGCATCGAAAAGCCATGCAACTGCCGAGCTCAACCGGAGTGCCCGCTGGACGGCCGATGCCAAGCGCAAGAGGTTGTTTATGAAGCGCACGTGGGGAAAGAAAACGAACAGAAGGTGTACATTGGATCAACTGAGCCACCATTTAAGAAACGACACTATAACCACAAATCGGACATGAACATCGAGTCAAGGAGGAACAACACGGAGCTGTCCAAGCATGTATGGCGGCTAAAAGAGACGAACGCACCGGTCACCATCAAGTGGAGGATTGCTGAGCAAGCTAAAGGGTACAGCAACGTAAGCAAACGATGCAACCTATGCGTGACGGAGAAATTCCGCATCATTACCGCCGACAGGAGCACCCGCCTGAATAAGAGGAGCGAGTTAATCTCCAAATGTCGTCACGCCAACAAGTTTCACCTCAGCAGGGTAACGTGATGAACAACAAAATACATGAGCCACGCCAGGCTGGGGGTGGCTGTTTTGCCCGTCGGGGCCGGGGAGTTGGCGGTCGGGGCTGGGTTCCGCGGGGCGCGGGAATGGTGAGCACTCCCCTCAGGTATAATAAGGTGATCATGTGTGTACAAAACTTGTATTGGTAATAACTTTGGCATACATTAATATTTTCAACCAAATTTTCTGTGTTGATACATTGGGTTAGTTGTCATCGATTTCCAGTATCAAATTTAAATTATGAGCTGAATGACGTCATCAGTGCTACTTTTTATGTTCAGATTTCAACCCAAAACGCGGAGAAAACGAAAAATAGTAAGGCCACAAATCCTGGTGAACTGGATAGCCTTTGGGCCCTAGATAAAGGATATTGGTGGATATTGTACATAGATAACAACATTTCGCTGGAAACCAGTATCGACTTGTTTCACCATACGCACTGTACACATTTAGTATACGAAGCTGTCGTACCTCGGGGTCTGTTCAGACTCACCACCGCGATGAACGGGTGTTTAGTATCGATATCCAGCACATTCCCGCTTGCTGGGATGTACAGCTAGCCAATGCAACAGCTCTCATTCGCCAAAGACATTCCCCACGCTCCGCGTTAATGGAATGAAGCTGTCATTGCCGTTTCAAAATAGCCGACATTGTCTCTTACACATAAATGACTGCGCTGTACATGTAGTGCATCACACCAGCAATCTGCTGTAGATCTACAGACAGTGCATGCAGCGAGCCGAGCATGCGCACTTGAGTAGGGTACTTGACTCTCACGCACGATCGCTGGTCACAACTGAGTCTGTACATGCGACTGTGCTCGTGTCGTTGTGACTTGCAAGTGCATGCACTCTGTACTGCACTGATGTACTGTATGACTGGACAGGAACAATGCAAGTGCAGTTTTCAGTGCGTGGACTCGGCTACTAAAACATTTTGTGGAAGCAAACAAGCCTTCTTTATGATCTTGGTCATTTTCTCAATCGACTCTGCGCTTCGAGCTAGATGTGTCCGTGGGGTATTGCCCAACTAGAACTGGAGTCCTCGCGTGCCCCAGGTCGCGAGGAGCTAATCACTTTTGTCAGCAGAACTCCTGCTCGGGACTTGACACATTAAATTTTATTCCGTCCGATGTCATCCCCGCTGCGAGTGGGGAGCTTCATGCCCACGATAAAAGAGAACGTCATGATATTTGAATCCTTCATAAGAGAAAGCTATTCGAGCTCAAAACGACACAAGACAATGGCCATGATAAAGATACTCGTACAGATCGCGATGTGACTGGCCTCCAAAAGTGCTGCAAAAGACTTGAAGTATTTTTCAAAACAATCTTGTGAAAAAAAGCTGAGCGCTCGAGTGCGGTGAACACGGCCAAACGCCATGTTTTCCTTGGTAACATGACGTCAGCCACATTATCACCATGGCGAGTTGCAGCGCTGATCTTGAAGTACAGCGGCACCAGAAAAGTGTCCTTATTCTACCTGAGCCAGGGCTCATGGCTCACGCGCTTTGGCGAATCTTGGCTTCTGTCGCCGGTTTTCCGATGCCTTGGCGGGTGTGGTAGTCACCCCCTTGCCTGGCGTGAGTGATTCCCACAACACAATCCCCATCAGCATTTTTACCACCCTAGGTCACAATTTGATGTGTAACAATGCAGCACAAATCTGTACTGATGTGTTGCCAGAAAATCGCGCTGTTTCTCTACCCTGGCTATGCTCTATACTCTCAACATCTTTTTCCTCTTATTATCACGCTGATTTTGTCATCCCTTTTCCTCGCGCTACTGAAATGTACCTCCATGACCTTTGCCCCCTTCTCCCCTTCTCCGTATATATATTCTAGGGATTGTTAGTCTTGGTCATATGCTGTCTGATGAAGTGTTCTGACACGAAACTCGGAGTAACAGCGGAATGAGACTTGTTTGATTCATTGCTGTGTAATATTTGTATTATTCATTTTTAGAAATATTCCTAACAATCGAATCACAACCATAGAGGCGGGTGCTTTTTACAATTTGCCTCAATTGTACGACCTGTAAGTATTATGTGAATGTGTCTAGCAGTAAGTTACCTGTCTTCGTAAGTCACATTTTGTGTCTCCTCTCCTTAGGGAAGCTGACGCCAGTCGAAATCTCCTTGATTACACTATCTCGCCACCGTCCAGGTCAGCAAGGTACCTAAACAAGGTGCACAGCTCATCTAATACTACACTTACGTTGTGTAGTAGTAGTTGGTACGTCTGTTGGCTCTGGGTTCCCAGTACCCAGTTGCCGAGACTGGTTGGTAAAACGAGAGAGCTTGGAAGCTCAGGGACCTACGCCATGCTTTTTTGCCTTGATGACCTATACAAAAAACAGCATAGGGATGTTATAAATGCTTAGAAAATTCTCCTCTTTTTAAGACATAACCTGGGATTCGAACCCTCACTATCGCGCGCCTGCATGCATCCCCCCGATACACTTCGCATACATACTAATTCTTCCAAGTTGCTTCACGTTATGATCTTGCATTTGAAAGCCCTATTTGAATATGCATTGTGGCCAGCCGTCTTTGATGGTACGGTACGGGATAGGTACGGGGCAGGTACGGTCGAGGGTAATACGACACCGTCTACCGCCTTGATGACGTCAAAAAAAGCATAGGGATGTTATAAATTTTTCAATTCTCCTATTTTTTCCAGGCATATCCTGGGATTCGAAGCCGCACTATCGCCCTACATGCATTCCCCGACACACTTCACATTCATACCCATTCTTCCAAGTTGCTTCACGGTATGATCTTGCGTTTGAAAGCCCTATTTGAATATTGCGGCCAGCTGTGTTTGATGGTACGGTATGGTATGGGACAAATACGGGATAGTGCCAGGCGTGACACAAACACACTAACAAACACACAAATAACAAATTAAAGCTGTGTGGACCCTGGCTAGGGCCAGACGTTACTGAAGTAACGTCTTCTGCATAGCTACGGGAATAACTCCAATTACACTTCAAGGTACCAGTGCATCTAGTGTCTGCTTTTATCAAAGCAGCGTGCTGGCTATACTGGTTACCCCAGCAAGTGTAGGGTGTGCATAGGTAACTGTCTTGGCCGTCCTATTCCGATGTACTCCGTGTGGTGTAGACCAGGTGCATTGGGGGGTCGATTCACATGGCTTCGCCAGTTGTGTGGACTAGACAGTTATCTGGCGCTTGTCTTGATCTGTTTCAATCAGAATCAGATCCGCTATCGTTGCTATAAAGAGAAAATCTGTGGGTGCACATCCAGTGCATTTGCAGATTTGCGTGCTTCTCTTGCGCCGGGCGTATACATGGTACATGGTGTGTGTGTGTGTGTGTGTGTGTGTGTATGTGTGTGGCGATGTACATACCAAGATCAGGATATGGAACTGGCCGCAGCAGCCCCCGTTGAGTGCGGCTTCTGTGGAAAGTTCTGCTCTAGACCAAGGGATCGTAAGTGCCACAAGTGCACAGCGGAGCGTCGCTAGCCAGTCCAATAGCAGCGTGGTGCATGTCAATGTGCAGATTGTGGGAAATGGTATCGTTACAGGGGTGGACTCGCTGTCCACAGGTGTCAGCCTACCTCAATCGCTAGCCAGCCCGCTTCCGCTCCTTGTAGACCTCGCCAGAACCGCCCAACAAAGGATGAGCGTGTGAAGTTTCCACTACTGTGTCAGCACTGCTCTCGGAGATTTCGGCAGTCCAGGGACCTGACTCGGCACCGGCATGTTTGCTCCTCTCCCTCCTCCCCCAATGGGACCACGTAACCTTTACGGCAGTGGGTCAACAGGACAGGGCAGGACGTGTGTGTGTGTGTGTTTGTGTGTGCACGCATGTTTGTGCATGTGCACACGTGCGCGCGTGTGTGTGTGGTGTGTGCTGTTGGCTGCCCAAGGAGGCAGTTTGGAATTTTTCTGCTCCTGACTTTTTCTTGTTTTTCGAGTACTTTTGGGCGAAAGAGAGGCCTGGAGCGACCCCTTGAGGGTTGTCTCCAGGGCCAGTAACGTAGACAGTGAGCTGCCGATGACGGGAGCTACGTAGCTGGAGGACGAGGCGAATTCTTTGATACCGCCACCTCTTGCTGCGCCCGAAGTCGCCACTCGCGGTGGTGTGACGAGCCCCCGAGTGGAATATCTCCATCCAGCTCCGAAAAGCTATGAAGTACATCAAGGAGAGGGAGAAGAGTGGGAGAGAGGGACGGCGCTGCTTGACGTTTGGGTCGTGGAATGTGCACTCCCTTGTGGAGAGGAGTGGCGGCGTAGCTACGGCGAGCGTGTCTGGCCGCGTAGCAGAAGACAAGACATGTCGTCGTGTTGCTGCCGAGCTGCGCAGGCTGAACGTGGCGGCGACTGGGTTGCAGGAGACACACTGGTTCGGCACTGATATTTATGTCGCTGACGGTTTCACTATCTTGTGTTCGGGTCGCCCGTACTTGGCGATGGAGCTCCGAGCAACAGACGAGGAGAAGGAGTCGCCCTGGCACTCAATAAATTTGCAACCGACACATGGAAGAATGGTGGTTCGGTCTGGCGGGCTGTGGGCCCTCGTCTTGTCACTGCACGTCTCAAATTCGCCCCGCGTTTGGAGAAGTTGCATGTGTGACGGTAATCAGTGCGTATGCTCCGACTTATGCAGCTCCGCGCGCCAGCAAAAATCAGTTTTACGAACAGTTGCAGGAGGTAAATACTGGCGTTCCTGACAGAGACTGCTGTATTCTGCTTGGCGACTTCAACGCCCGTGTTGGTTCAGGAACAGCTGACAATGACTGGAGTGGTGTGCGCGGCTTGCATGGTTTTGGACAGTTGAATTCCTCTGGAGATGAGCTTGCAGCAATAAATAAATAAATAATTTGTGGATCTGCAACACCTGGTTCCCCAAGCGGGATATATTCAAGCGGACGTGGCAGCACCCCGGTTCTCTGCAGTGGCACTGCATCGACTATATCTTGATGCGTCAGGATCATCGGCGATTTTGCAGGGACGTGCTCGTTGTTCGCGGTGCTGAGTGTGGAAGTGACCACCAGCTGCTTTGTATAGTCTTTGAGTTCCCGCGTCGCCCGGTGGGGGTTGCCCGACGTGCAGCGAGTCGGGGGCGCCGATTTAATGTCAGCAAGCTGCGGAGTAAGGCGGTGGCCGAGCATGGTCAATCAGATTCCTGCACGTCTGCGTTACAAGACAACAACGATGTGGGACGTCGCCCCCCCCCCCCCCACACGCTGTCTGACCACCGCGGACAAGTATCGCGCCGTTTTATCTGCTGGACTGCGAGATTGCTGGAGCAGCAATGGTAGGGTGAGAAGTGGACCCATGTGCGCAATACTGTGATTGCCGCAGCCGCTGATGTATTGGACCCGAGCGAACGCTGTCAGGCCGACTGGTATGATGACAACTCTGCAATCATACAGCCCCTTCTGCGCGCCCTCAATGAGTGCTACACGGAGTGGCTTGCCCACGGTCAGCAGAGGGGCGACACATATTGGGCCAGCTTCGGGGCTGCTCGATCGCAGGCGCGCGCAGCCGTTGTAAATGCCAAAGAGGATTGGATTTTTGAATAAGGCCCAGGAGGCAACAGAGGCGCGCTTCAACGGGGCAGTCGTCTGGAAATGCGTTCATGCTATCCACGCTGCATGTGAGGGATTATCTCCGTGCAAGGCTTCCGCCGTTAAGGACGAGAATGGAAACCTGTGCCAGTCGACTGAGGATCAATGCAAGCGGTTCTAGAGGCATTTCACATCTATCCTGAACCCAGAGAGCTCGTACAACCCCGATATCATGGCTTGCGTTGAGCAGTGACCTGTAGTGTCGAGCCTTGAGGAACCACCAACCATGCATGAGATCTCCAAGGCCATTTCTCAAATTTGCAATGGCACCGCTGCTGGTTCATCGAGGATACAGCCAGAGTTGCTAAAGTTTGGTGGCGAGGAGCTCAACAACACGCTCATGGAGCTGTTTGGGGATGTGTGGCGAGATGGCTGAGTTCCGCGGGAGTGGGCGGATGCTACCCTCATCCCCATTTCAAAGAAAGGAGATTTGTCGCAGTGCGACAATTGGCGGGGCATTGCGTTGCTGGATGTGGTCGGCAAGGTCTTGGCGAGTGTCCTTCAGAGAAGGCTGCAGGTATTCGCAGAGGAATTTCTCCCGAGTCCCAGTGCGGGTTCCGGCGAGGGCGTGGCTGCTCTGACATGATCTTCACCGTCCGACAGCTCATGGAAAAGTCAATCGAACACCAGGCCAGGGGTATTTTTGTGTTTATTGACCTGAAGAAGGCCTATGATTCAGTGCCCACGGAGTGTCTGTGGCAGGTCCTCGGCCGTGCAGGAGTACCAGAAAAGCTTATCAACATCGTCCGGTCGTTCCACGACCCCATGTCAGCATCCGTGCAGTTCAACAACATATTATCAGACCCGTTCTGCATTGGCAATGGTCTTCGCGAGGGGTGCTCTATGGCGCCGGTCCTTTTTAATATTTTTTATGTGGGCCGTGATGACCCAATGGCAACACGAGAGTTGACGGGGTTGGCTTCGACCTACGCTCAGCATACAGCAGCGATCTATACCGTAAACCCCGCCATGGCGACCAACACCATTGCCTAACAGATTCCCAGTTTGCTGACGACTCTTGTCTATTCGCTACGACTCGGTCTGGAGCGGGGGCAGCATTGTGCTGTCTTCACGAGGTAACTTCGGGATTCGGCTTGACCGTCAGTGCAGCGAAGACTCAGTTTGTAGTTGTTGGCCCCGACATCACGCCTACTGACCGCGCTCCCCTCCTACTTGGTCAAGCGGAGGTGGAATGCGTACCGCAATTCAAGTACCTCGGTTCTGTAGTGGATAACGGTTCCCGTTTGTGCCGGGACATCGCCGCAAGGATTGCCCGAGCCTCCGGGGCCTGCAGTGCTCCTTGGAAGTCTGTATTCTCTAATCCACATCTGCTGATGCACACCAAGCGGTGCGTATTCAATGCTTGCGTTCTATCCCTGCTGTTGTATGGCTCTGAGTGCTGGGCGCCCCTTCAACTTGACCTGAAGAAGCTCTCAACCTTCAGCATGAGGTGCATCCGATCCATCCTCAGGGTCTCTCGAAGCCGGATGTGGGACGAACACATCAGCAAAGAAGAGCTGCTGGTGCGCTGGGGAGACTCTGAGATGATTAAAGACAAGATTGCACATCGGCGGTTGGAGTGGTTGGGGCATGTGGCGCGGATGCCGGACAACCGCATCCCGAAACAGGTGGTGTTCGGCTCCTTTTGCAGCGTTGCCCGGCACATGGCCCATGCCGCAGGTGGAAGGACTGTGCTGTCCGGGATCTACGTGCCCATGGTGTGGAGGCATCATGGTATGATGTTGCATGTGAGTCTCGCCCGGAGTGGCGCAGCACCTACCAAGAGCCTGACAATGCGCCTGAGCCTCCGCCCCGAGTGGTATGTACGGTATGTGGACAGGATTTTGCACAGAAAGGAGACATGGCTCAGCATAAGTGTCTGGAGGAGCGTGCGCGGCCTGTGTCTGAGCAGCGGGGCACCAGTCAGTGCGGGCGGTGTGGGCGGTGGCTGTGAAGCCGCGGTGGCTTGGTCCGGCATGTGTATGCCTCGACGGTGGATGCCACAGTGCCACCTGGCGTTACCGGAACGTCGGCACCGGCGGAGGGATGTTGTGCCGCGCATTGTAACAGGTGTGGTCGCTGCTTTCCCGATGTCTGGGGACGGGGCAGACATCGCTGTTCAAGGGTGGCCCATAGACCAACAGCAGAGGAGCGCTCAACCTTCCAGCACATGTGCATATGCGGCAAGCGGATGCGACTACCCGTGAACCTGGAGTGTCATCGGGCATCGTGCCCTCTCTCTTTTATCTTATCAAGTTTCCCAGTGATGGGATCACGTGACCCTTTTGCGGCAGTGACTCTACAGGACAGGACAGGTGTGTGTGTGTGTGTGTGTGTGTGTGTGTGTGTGTGTGTGTGTGTGTGCGTGCGTGTGTGTGTTATGGTCGCACACGTCTTTCTTCTCTTTCTCATTCTTCTAGCTCATCTTTCTTTCATTCTCCTGGGTGGTTACCAACAGCCAGTGTTTGCCGGAGTATGTAGTGTGGCGTGTGTGTGTAAAAAAAATGGAAAAATGAAAAAAAATTAAAAAATTAAAAATAAGGATTCCCTGGCCAGAAAAGGCCACTATAACCAGCTGTGTGGTGGACACCAGGCTAAAATTAGTGGTGGTCAATTCATCAGCCTTGCAAGCTGTTGAATGGTGAAATCCCAGCACAAGTTGCTATGTCTAACACAGCTGTTTGCTATCATCGCATCCGCGATGGGCAGGTCTGAGGTCTGAGGTGTGTGTGTGCGTGTGCAAAAACAAACAAAAAATTCAAGACTTTATAATGGTTTCCCAAAAAGGAAACAACAAAAAGAGTAACACTGCTTGCTATCGTGAAATGGGCCTGGGGAACTGTTTGTTCTCTCATGAAATCGGGTTGGGGAAGTGTTTGTTCTCTCGTTAAATGGGGCTGGGGAACTGTTTGTTCTCTCATCTGCAAACGTCGTGTGGTCTCCTCGGGACAAATAAAGGAGAGGTTATGTCCTAAAACTGACGATAGACTGAGTACAATCACTTTATTCTGATGATTCTGAGATGACAGATTCATTATCGCTTTCATCTATTTGTGCTTCATTATTAGAAATTTGCAGAACAATAGAATCACAACTTTATCAAAGGACACGTTTAAAAACTTGCCGTCTTTGATCAGACTGTAAGTATGATTGTTGAAAACGTGGTGAACATCATTCAACTGCATTGCAAATAAAAGGGGGTTTGTCAACTGACAACCGTTCTATTCAGTTGCTATTCACTCTTGACGCATGCGCTGGATGAAAATTCTTTTATTTATAGTGACGTCGAAAACATTATTGACGTTTCGGGCCAGTCACCCAGGGGCGTCACACACGGTACGACGACTACGACCATGGTCGTACCACTTTTCGTCCAGGATGGTCCACCCAATTCATCCAAAAAAGCAATAAAAGATTCAGGGATCTTCGGACTTGTACAAAACATCGCAACTAAGTTAGTTACTTTCATTGCAAGGAGCATACAGACTTGATGCCTAGCACTAGCACTAGCAGCTAGCTATTGCCCAAGACTCCAAGCGGCTATCCATTACGATAGGCGGTTGGAGTCATGGGTAGAGACAACCAGACGATGGATTCCTCACGGACGCATTCACTACAAACTTGACGGAAACAGAGCTGAGCTGGCGGCGATCACTGGGTCCAGAACTAAAATTTTCCCAGATCTACCATATTACAATGACGATCAGCACGGTCAAGAGACACTACATGCACTTGTCAGCTACAACATAATGATATTATTCTTTCCACAACGACACCTACCTAGTACATCTGGCTCCTGACGATCTACTGCAAGCTGATGCGAAAATGCATTACACCCGCGTTGTAACGGAATCACAGCCATTCCGTTCCCCGGGACGCAGGACACAAAGGACAAGACTGGTTTGTTTTACATAATATATTTGGACATTACGGAAAGGTAGACTACTCTGACAGAGACGAACAAGAAGACTGACAAAAAGGACTCTCGACTACAAAATCGCGCATGCTCATATCACACATGCACGCGACTAGACGAGACAGTTTGGGGAATGCCATCACACAGGAAAACAACACATCATTTCACAACACCTGCCCCCTTGATGACATTCCACAAAATAATAAACCGACACCACGTTCCACATGCACAACAGCAAAAGGAACCACAGCAGAACAGGAAAACGAAAACCAACCATCACCCTAGAGCCGACGCTCTAAAATAATACCCGGGCCACGAAACAGGGCCAAACAAAAACCTAGAGCCGACGCTCTACAACCAGGCCACGCCACACAAGGCCAACCGAAACACGGGAGCCGAAGCTCCAACAAAATAATAACATGCGCACAGCCACACCAAATAAATCTACAACAAAAACAATGGAGAACAACAGAACGAATAGAAGAGCAACAGACCGACAACAACCAAACTGAAACAACACAGCAACAAGCAACGAACTGAGCAGCGAGAGAAACACGATCAGACAACACAGCGAGCAAGACAACAACAAGACGAACACCAAGGCCGACACACAGTCGGTGACGCCAGACTCGTCCACTGTCCTCTGGCGAGCCACGGCCACACGCTCCGTCGCGGTTCCTGCCGTCTCAGGCTCCAGTCCACAGTTACTGTTCTAGTCCATCACCTTCTCTGCCTCCTCTCCGCGTCGTCTTCCGCTCCCACCAGCTCTTCACCTCCTCCACTCCCACGCTCTGTTTACTTCAAAGTAACAGTTACTTCGTTGTTGACGACGACGACGAACAGACTCACAACAAACTAACTCATCCTCTGCGTCCCGGGTTTCGGCACCACGTTGTAACGGAATCACAGCCATTCCGTTCCCCGGGACGCAGGACACAAAGGACAAGACTGGTTTGTTTTACATAATATATTTGGACATTACGGAAAGGTAGACTACTCTGACAGAGACGAACAAGAAGACTGACAAAAAGGACTCTCGACTACAAAATCGCGCATGCTCATATCACACATGCACGCGACTAGACGAGACAGTTTGGGGAATGCCATCACACAGGAAAACAACACATCATTTCACAACACGAGCGCCGCACTTGTCAACGGAAAAGGGAAGCGCTTCATTCTCCGAAGTTTAAAAGTGTTTGGACTGCTGCTCCACGGCGACAGAATATTCTGCAGCTGTTCACAGACACTACCCGCTTCACCTAACAATTTACGATCGTTTCGTTCTCCGAGTTTTCTGGTACCAGCAACAAGGATTGCGTCTGCGACGACAGGACGAAAGTCTCTCGCAAACTAAAGTCCTGTTGCCACGAAGACGGAGAAGATTCCGCAAGCCCTTTCTTCTGCTTCCAGTGTTGTAGCTCTCCGGACCACTGGCAGATCTTTCAATCCCAACGAACAAAAAAGGGATCTTCTTCTCTCTCTAAAAACAACTAAAATAATTACTTCGCGACTGTCCAGGCCTGCTGTGTACATAGTGCATGCGACGCGGCGGACTTTTGGCGTTTTGTAGAACATGACATACGTTTTTGCACAGCGGCTGGCGCTAGAACGCGCAGCACGCTTGTACATTCGTGGCGAACACAAGGGGCGTGAATGATCCGTGATCAACCCTGTTGATACGTTCGGCATATTGGCGCTTCTTCTGGCGCTCGTGATCAGCCAACTGGCTCAATTTTTGTGATCGCCACAGCAAAGATGGCCGTGAGTGAGTAACCCGAACATCAAAAAGGCATTTTGCTCCCGCGACCAAAAAAGCCACAGGCCTGAACATCCACACGAGCGCCATCGGCAGTGTTGCCTGATACAGCCTTACCCTGCAATGAAGCAAGTGGGGGCTCAGTCTCCACGTCACATACCATCTCCGCCAGCGTTTCAGCGAAGAGGTACGGTAACTCGTTTTGGCGCTAAGTAGGATGCCCTCCGCTGGAGCACGTGAATGTGTGACAAGTCGTCATGTCAGGGCCGTAGACGCATGATGAAGGCACACTACTCAGAGTCAAATCATAGTGCAGGCACAAAGCATCCCGAAAGTCATTTTTGTTAAAAATGCTGCTTGGGCTTAAGACCGTGGACGGGGTACCTAGCCAGGTTGATCTGCCACCATCGCCGGCAACCTCGACTAGGAGCCGCTGCTGTTCTAGCAGAGAGGGCTTGATGCTGGTCAGAACAGATTGCTGCTGAGCATGACGCTCTGTGCGCGCCGCAGAAGCAAGAGTCCTGCAGGATGTGATGACTGCGGCAGGACCAGGGACAGGAGATAACACCGACTGGACCATCGGCTCAGTTGACACACGGCTAGGTCTCCGCGTACCGATAATTCCTTTGAGCATTGCTCAAAATTTCGACCGATTATTCCCATAATTCCACCATTAATTCTCACAATAATGCTTTTTTCCTTCCCTTTTTTTGCAGATACCGTACCGCATACGGGTTTTTTTCGCGACTTGTACGGGCAAAAAAATCACGGTTCGCGTGAAACTCGGCTGGAAGCTTTTTTCTTCTTTCTTTTTTGAAATACCGGGCGATCAACTTCAGGATCACAAGCTTTTTGGTACAAATCAGGGTGTTATAGATGGAAAAAATGGAAAAGGGGGGGGGGGGGCATTGCTCAAATTTTACCGATTATTTCACAAAATTTGCCAATAATTCCCGTTTTAAAAATCACTTTAAAAATCACACCGATAATTCCCGAAATTATGCTGGCACATTCCGCGGAGGCCTACACACGGCACAGCTGATGATCTGCCTCCACTCGGTGACCGGATATGTCGACTACCAAACCACCCGACTTCACGGGCAGGGACAACAATTCCTGAGATCACCTTCAACAAGCAAAGTGGCCCAAACAATTGAGGGTCGGCCGCAATAACTCACTGGAGGAAGATCCGTCTTGACTGAAGATATGAGACGAACAGTTGAGAAGCAGCCTGGAGCTCTGTCATAGCAATGTTTATAGAAGAGAAATGAAACCAAAACATTGAAAACCCCAAACCAAAAACTCTTTATCATGGTTTGTGGGAGAGGAAACAGCAACATCAAGAGTAACACTACTTGCTATCATGAAATGGGGCTGGAGAACTGTTTGTTCTTTCGTCTGCATGCATCGTGTGGTCTAGTCGGGTCAAATGAAAGAGAGATTATGTCCTGAAACTGACGACATACTGAGTGTAATCACTTTATTCCGATGGTTCTGAGATGACAGATTCATTATCGCTTTCATCCATTTGTGCTTCATTATTAGATTTTTGCAGAATAATAGAATCACAACTATATCAAAGGACACGTTTAGAAACTTGTCGTCTTTGTACTGGCTGTAAGTATTATTGTTGAAAAAGTGGTGAACATCACGCAACTGCATTGCAAATAAATGGGGGTTTGTCAACTGACAACCGTTCTATTTAGTTGCTATTCACTCTTTGCGCATGCGCTGGATGAAAATTCTTTTATTTATAGTGATGTCGGGCCAGTCACCCATTGTCAGACTGGCCCGAAACGTCCATAATTTGTTCGACATCGCTAATAAAATAATTTTCATCCAGCGCAATCACCAAGAGTGAATAGCAACTAAATAGAGCGGTTGCCAGTTGACAAACCCCTTTTTTTATTGGTAAGTATGATGTGGGTGTTTCAAGTACTATGCTACATGTCCGCATAAGTCATACTTTATGTCTACTCTCCGTGATCAGTCACGGGGCAGTCAACGGCATAGACTACGTTTCCATTTCTTCGTGGATTAGAAAAATGCCTTTCACATGTTCAGCAAGACTGACAGAAAGATTCTCTCCTCACGGGGTCTGGAACACCAAACTGATCTTTCACTGTGATTGACTGAAAACAAGCGGAGCCCAAAAATGACAAACCGCCCCTGCAGTCGCAAAACGTTTTTAACTGTTAAGGCAGCTCAATAGGAAAAACTTGGCCCGAAGGTTATTCAGTTTTACTTTTTACACACCTTCCTACATGTGTACTCCGTGAAAAAACATCCCGGGGGTTGGGGGGGGGGGGGGTAATTGGGCAAAATCTTGAAGTATGGTGGCTAGAAAAATATAAGATTTTGCGATTTTGCTGATTTTTAAACACACATCAAATCAGGACATATTTTCATTCGAAATCTGTATTGAGTCTTTCTTGATGCTCTACTTCGTCCAGGGATGTCCTTGGAACAAAACTGGAGCATTGGGGAAGTACTCATAGCCTTGAATTCAAATGTTGTTGATATTGACCATTTTCACATATCGGACATGTGTATTTTGCCTCCTAGACACTGTTTTTCATGCAAACCTTGATAGAGAGTCAAAGGTTCCATTGGTTATCAAAATCAAGTTCTTTACTAGTAGAACAGCTGTTCACGGGGAGCTGGTCACCAAGCATTAAGAGTAAATTCGATCCAGAATGAAGTGCACTTGCCACAAAAGAAAAACAGCTGAAAATAGCTTTTGGTGGCGGGTCAAATTTGTTACAAGGAGGATGAAATATCAAAATTGTTCCGAAGATGTGTATGTTTTACTTCTTTATGACCAATTCAGACCTTTACTGAGCTGGAAAAACAAAGGTTTTTGGGGGTATTCGGGCAAAATGGTGCTGATATGGACCATTTTCATATATCGGACATGTGAATTTTGCCGCCTAGCCACTGTTTTTCATGCAAAACTTGACAGAGAGTTAAAGGTTCCATTGTTTATCATAATAAAGTTGGTGCTAATAGAACAGCAGACAGTCTGTTACGGGAAGCTGGTCATCAAGCATGAACAATGGATTGGATACAGAATGATGTACAAATGGCAAAAAAAAAGCTTGACAGATAAGTGAACACAAAGACACTACCGACTGCTGTATAAAATTAGTTCGCGGGGAGTGATAGATGGATGAATTATAGACAGATAAATAGACAGATATAAAGAAAATCAATGTGAGGACAGCAAGCAAAGATAATACTGGGAGATAACTTTGCAAGATTCGAAAGTTGAAACTTTCAACTGTCGCTCAATAGTCACATGAGCAGATTTAATTAGGAATTTCAGCAGGCATAGTGGGATGGTCTAAGACCATGATTGAAAAACAGAGGGTACCAGGTTCAAGTCCTGCTTGGAAGCAGAAGGATTTTTTCAGCCGTGCTGCGACCCACAGTTAATTGATAACTCGTGGCCTGGCACGAGGGAAACATGGATGCAGTGAATGGGATTTTCTGTCTTTGACCACTTTGTGGTGGGTCTGATCACCTCCCACCGCTTAGGGGCTGCATCTGTGCCTTGATCCTCGAGGGTGGTGGCGTTCTTGCGGATGTGGAAAACTGGGCCTTTGGCCGAGTCTCACGCGAACCGTGAATTTTCAACAGCCATGCCTGCATCCTCTCCCGTACCCGACGCTGCACCACAAGTAGTTCCTGTGACTCAGTCGTCGCCACAGTCAACTGTTCAGGTACCACCTCAAACAAGCCAACGTCTGGTGGATTGTATGCACATCCCACCAGGATACTGTGCTTTTGCTCCATGACCTCAATCCACAAAGTTTCGGAATATGTTTCCAGATCAGCACGTCGTTTGACAAGTGTCGTTTCATGACAGTATAATTATGCAAACACCACCGCCGTGCTGTAGGGCACGATCTTTCCTAAATAGCTTGTAGTGAGGAATATACACCTCTCCATCAGTTACATCAGCAGCCAGCCATGTCTCAGCAACACCCATGATATGCACACGATGCTTGGAAACGAAATATTTGAGTTCGTCGACTTTTCTGTGGAGGCTAAAGATGTTAAGAAAGGCTATGCTGGTCATCTGTTGCTGAATTCATACTGCTATGGCTGTCCTCTTTTTCATGTATGTACTTGTGGAAATTCTAACACCTACTGTACAGTGGAGCAGGCCAGAACCGGCGGCTGTTGACTAGCTTTGCACTTGCAGCGTTGATGGTGATCCTGGCCGAGGATGACCATTTTTTGGGGAAGATCTTTACATCAATATACAGACAGGGCAGTCGCTGTATGCAGCTCTGCATTCAATACTAAATTTCAACTGCTCGCTCTGCATGTCGGGTGGAAGGGTTCCAAAGAAGAAAACTGACTTTGTATGCGTGGGCTTAGTATTCGTGACTGTAGTGTCAGATAGAGTTTATTCACAACTAGCAAGGAGAACAACAAACGAAGAACTACATTCCAAAGCAGTATGCGAACACAAGAGGGAAGTGCGTACGAACACAAAAGGAAAGTGTGTACAAGCGCATATGGAAGCAGGAGCTCTAGGCGCGTGCACACGGGGTGCGGGAGTTGCACCATATACGGAAGTATGCCATATACATCATGCCCCTCCTAAGATAAAAACGTACAAGTGTTTATCTAATCAACAAAAAATAAAGTGGAAATTGCATGTGCGTAGCAAATGACATGTCGCTGAGCATTATTATAATTATTATTATTCAACGCAATAAATAGAGTAAGCTGCGCACTCAGTACAAACACCATTAGCAAAACTTGTTTTCATGTAAATAAAGAAGTTTGTTCCTAAACGTTTTCGTCGCCATCTCATCAGAGGATTACTGGCAAATCAACATTAGCTCTAAACTCAATATATATATACGCACAATGCAACTTGTCTGGTGTCCGATATTGAGGTTAGTTTCCGCGGTCTACCACGTTTTCGAATATTGACTGTTGTTGTCACTTCCGTTGTAGTTGTACGTTCGTCCTCACCAGTCCGTATTTTCACTTGGCTTCTCGTCACCCTTTCCGACGCCGACAGATCCCTTGTCAGTTTCGGTGGTTTACGTGTCGGTCTTTCACCATCTTTTATGCTGTTCTCAGCTGGCCCGTGTCCTATACACGCAGAGGAGGACGGGCATGCAGTCACATCTTCACGGGAAGAGGAAGATCCACCGATGGACTGGACAGCACATTTTGGAGGACGACCATGGCGAGGACGACAATCGCGCGCATCAAGCGGAACACAACTTAACGGCACATGTTGACGAATGCGTGCGCCCAGGTGCTGAAGGGTTCTACCTACATACCGATCTTCACATTGTCGGCATTGAAAGAAATAGATAAGGTTACTTTTACTAAGGGTAGGTAGAACATCCTTCTTCACACTGAACGCACGCACTGTCCCAAATATGACGTACAGCTTGACGCACGGATATGATGGACATACGATACCACGAACATCCTTCTCCACGCGCGCAGAACCACCTTATTAATTTTCCACCTTGTCACGAGTGTTGTTATCTAATTATCTTAACGCTAAATAAGTTTTAGTCTTTCCAACTTGAGCCATACCCTGTATAATCCTTGATGAGAAGGGACCGAAAACGTTCGGATACTTATGACAAGTGCCTTATTATGACTGGATGTGTGTTTGCGTGGATATTTGCGACCCATAACTTACCTTCGTTTTAAAGTATTATCCGCCTCCGACCTCTTTTAAAAATTATTATATTATTATTGAGTCACCTCCACCACCACACTGCGCTCTTTAGCCGACTAGACCCTCCTGCACACAACCATCACCATTGCGATGACACTTCCGTAGACGATATTGATAAACTCCTTCAGACAGCTGTTTCGCTAATACATAGCTCATCAGTGAAGGTAGATGTTGAATGATTAAAAATATAGACCAAACTGCTATTCTATAGGGGGTTTCCACATACAAAACTGGCATAGCTGAGGTGATAACGCGGGAAAAGGAAAGTGTGAAGTACTGTTGACGCCCATTGGACAAGCATGCAGCGTCGGAAATTCGGCGCGGAAAATCAATCACTATTCAATGCAGAAATAACGTGCCAGAATCAGAATACTATGTAGCTAGTAGTGAGAGTCTGTGTACTAGCATTGCAGTTGTCCGAGCGCCATGAAGGCCTGCGAACGCACCTCACGACCCGCCGACGTCGATAGCCACAGCAGCCCCTGGGGCATGACATTGTACTGCTCGGCCGTCGCGCCAAGACGCTTGGCAGTCACTAGGCTTCATGCCACCGATGTTGTCCGCAAGCTACCTTGTTATCTACCCATCACCCACTGCCGCTGATGCGCTGGGAGGCCCTGCGGCATTCGCCCAGCATATCGTCGTCAGAGCTGTGTCGACGGTACAATAACGCTGGTAGAAACAAACAGTTGGTCGTATGGTATTGCGTCCTCCGGATTGTCCCTTGACTCGTCTTGTCCCTCTTCTTGCTCTGACGCTAACGGCGCACGTATCATATTATTACAGGGTGCGACACCGCTTCAACATCTACCTTCACTGATGAGCTATGTATTAGCGAAACAGCTATCTGAAGGAGTTTATCAATATCGTCTACGGAAGTGTCCTCGCAATGGTGATGG